CTGTGTAGTTATATATGTTACTGGTAACAGTTTCCTGAATAGTACCTACTGAAAGGGAGGGTGAAACTCATATGGTGTTTTTATATTATTAATTATCGTTTTTATACATTTAGTACATTTGCCATAGGCTGAAGTAAGTTTTACTGTATCATATGTCTGAAGTGTCTCTGTAGGTGTGAGTGTATTAGGAATTAATCTCGATTTAGCGAACGAGTTAACTAAATCGAGCAAAAATTACGGAAAAAATTCCTTCCACTAAATTGAGAGTTCGTTATATCGGATTCCGTTAAATCAAGAGTATGCTGTACTATAAAACTATAAAATGCTGTACTGTACAAGGGGTCCCTGACTTACGAACACCCGCCGATATAAATGTGGTTAAACTTGAAATTTATAGTATTTTATTTACCTGTTGACTTATTTTTTAATTTCATATACTGTACCCTATACCTGTACAGGTGCTCCTCCACTTAAGAACATTCAACTTACAAACTTTCAGAGATACAAATACCATCACTGAATGGGGTTGCCTGCCAGTACAGGTGTTTAATGTGAATGAGACTGGATTATTTTGAAGAAAATTCCAGATAGAACAAACATTACCTAAGAGGAGAAGAGTGAGCCAGGTTTTAAGGCTGTATTAAAGGGTATAGCTGTACTAAATATCCATAATCTTTTCATTTTTTACAATATGTTTGGTATATACAAGAGTAAAGTTGGACTTACAAACAAGCCTCAGGAACGTAACTCGTTCGCAACTAGAGGAACACCTGTACTGTATTTTGTCATTCTATTTATTATTTTGTCTTAAATTAAGTAATTTTGGATGTATATAAGGACTTATGCTATGATAGTGGGATTTTAAACATTATTCTGTAAGTACGGTATGCACATAGCATGTGTTCCGTCCTCAGGAATGGAACCGGTTCGGAACCCGGGGACCCCCTGTACTGTATACAGTACAGTACAATATTTTCTTTATAACATGGCTTCACAAGCGGGCATTCATGTCTAACTAATCTATTAACATTCTTTTCATCAGTTTTTGAATCAGTGGACAAGGGGCACAATTATGATGTGGTATATCTCGACTTTAGCAAAGCCTTCGACAGAGTCCCCCACGAAAGACTAATAAGAAAAGTGGAGGCTCATGGCATTAAAGGTGATATTCTAAAATGGATTAGGGCGTGGTTACAGGACAGAAAACAGCGTGTGAGCATTAACGGCACTAAATCCCATTGGAGCAACGTCACTAGTGGAGTTCTGCAAGGCTCAGTACATGGACCATTAGTATTTATTATACATACACATAAATGACATAGATATCGGCGTAGACAGCAACATAAGTAAATTTGCTGATGACACTAAAATAGGACGTGTAATTAAATCTGACGAGGACTCCGCAAAACTACAGGAAGATCTAAAAAAAATTTTGAATGATCTGAAAAATGGCAGATGAAATTCAATGTGGACAAATGTAAAGTACTCAGTATAGGAGATGTTGTGGGGTACGGGTTATTTGGGTTCACACTCTGGATGGGATGGAGAAAGGTAACTCACAATATGCTCTCTGTATACATATTGTATTGGATGTACAGTGCAGCTTGGTGCTGGGAAGGCAGCATGGTTACAAGCGTGATGTAGAGAGAGCTGGTTGGTGAGGGTACTCAGAGGAGGACAAGCTTGTGGGTCGCCATGCTCGCTGGCGGGAGCGAGGGCCTCCAGGCAGGAGTGGAGGAGGAGGAGGAGGAGGAGGAGGAGGTGTTGCTTGCTGGTTGGTGTAGGTAGAAAAGAGAGAGGTAGGTCACCACGAGGTCAGGTCTTATATAGCGGAGGTAGGCGTGGCTTAATAATTGACCTCCGTCATGTAAGGCGGCGCTGGTTAACCTAGACCACGAGGCATACACTGGGGAATTCGCGGGGTCGGCTACTCAGCGACAAACAGCGTTTGTAGGGGAGGAATCCACTACAATGTAAACAGGGAAACCAGACACCAGATGAACAACGATATTATTGAAAAAATCCGACTGCGAGAGAGATTTAGGAGTAATGATAAGTAGGAATCTTAAGCCAAGTAAACAATGTGTATTTAATCGAAACAAAGCTAATAAAGTACTTGGGTTCATACAAAGGAGTGTTAGTTACAAGACTAGCGAGGTATATATATATATACTGTACAGTATATATATACAGTAGTACCCCGATTTACGCGGTCAATTGAACCCACAGGGTACCGCGTAAAGTGAAAACCGCGTAAAGTGAACAACAGAACATATGGGATTAATTCCAATAGAGACTGGCCTGAACCCCAAACTCCACTTTTTCCGACACAATACCTATGTTGTAGTAAAAATAATATCTAAATATTATGATGGTATGCTCACACAATTAATATTTAAGAGAAATACAGTCCCAGGTTAATATCCATTCAAATAATGGACTCAAATCCCCCCCCCCCCTCTTCCCAGCTCACTGGCCCCTACCTCTCTGAGAAATGATTGGGTGAAACACTAGATTTTAACGTTTAGTAATAAATAATACCTCAGACTAAAGTTAGGATAATATAATTGACATTTCTGGATTCCTTGCAGGTCAGGGAATATTTTGAATGTAAACTTCATATATTTTGCACAAAAGATAAAATACTTGCTTTGTGTAAACCAAATTATTACATTAGATCTAAAATTTGTATGTCTAATGCAAAATCCATGATGTTTATATTCAAAATGATCATCATATTGTAAGAATTCCAGCAATGTAAATTATATTCTGGTCCAGTAATTTGTATGAATTTTATGAGCTAAAACAAATATCTTCAGTTAATAAAAAAAAAAAAATATTCTTCACGACACTATCTGTCAATCAAAGTACCCAAACTTGCCTCCCCCCCCTCTTCCAACCACTCCAGATGGTCGGTCGGTCCCAACCCTACCCTCCACCCCCCACCTTCCCTCCCTACCAGAGAAATGTTGGGTGAAAAACTAGATTTTAACTTTTAATAATAAATAATACCTCAGACTAAAGTTAGGATAATATAATTGACATTTCTGGATTCCATGCAGGTCAGGGAATATTTTGAATGTAAACTTCATATATTTTTTACAAAAGATAAAATATTTGATTTGTGTAAACCAAATTATTACATTAGATCTAAAATTTGTATGTCTAATGCAAAATCCATGATGTTTATATTCAAAATGATCGTCATATTGTAAGAATTCCAGCAATGTAAATTATATTCTGGCCGGGTAATTTGTATGAATTTTATGAGCTAAAACATATATCTTCATTAAATAAACAAAGAAATATTCTTCAAGGACACTATCTGTCAATCAAAATACCCCACCCTAGCTGGGTCGGTCTCTCCCTCCCTCCCCCCCACCCCCCACCTTCCCTCCCTACCAGAGAAGCTTTGGGAGAAAATAGTAATTTACATTTTTAGTAATAAATAATAACTCGGACTAAAGTTAGGATAATATACAGTAATTGTCATTTCTGGATTCCTTGCAGGTCAGGGAATATTTTGAATGTAAACTTCATATATTTTGCACAAAAGATAAAATACTTGCTTTGTGTAAACCAAATTATTACATTAGATCTAAAATTTGTATGTCTAATGCAAAATCCATGATGTTTATATTCAAAATGATCATCATATTGTAAGAATTCCAGCAATGTAAATTATATTCTGGTCGGGTAATTTGTATGAATTTTATGAGCTAAATAAAAAAAAAAAGTTATACTTCACGCGTATATGAGTAGATGCACCGCGGAAAGTGAAAGTCCGGTTCTGGCAAGGTACCGCGTAAATGAGAAATCGCGGAAAGTGAAACCATGTAAAGCGGGGTAATACTGTATATATATATATATGTGCTCCCCGACTTACGACGGGGTTAGGGACCCAAATCCAGGTCGTAAGTCCGAATGGTCGTAAGTCCGACATAGATAAAAAAAAAAAAAAAAAAAATTTAAATAAAAAATCTACAATTAAATACAGTACAGTAAAAGTAATAAATAATGAGGAATGGATACAGTACAGTGAAAGTAATAAATAATGTGGAATGGATACAGTGTGACTGAGCACTTACCTTTAATGTAGTCAGCTGAATGCACATGGGGCCCCCATAATTTTCTAATTATACATGGAGACTACATTAACTGGAAACGTTTCGGTATAGATAATGCGTGTGTTAATTGAAAATAAAAATAAAAATAAAAAATGGTCACAACTGCGGCGGTCGTAAGTCCCGACGGTCGTAAGTCGGGGACTACCTGTATATGTATATATACACTGTATATAATGTTATGGTAAATATCATAAACACACATAGGCATGGCTAGGTTTATCACAAAGTGATGAAAAGGGTACACTTAATACTGTAGTCCACAAAACATGTAGCTATGCTTTTTTTTATTTGGTCCCCCATCATACGAGTCCGTTTCTCTCACATCAGGACGCCTGAGTCCTCCGTTTTCTCTCTTAATCTTAGAGTGCACCAGAAACTTTACTATTTTTAGTAATGCCACAGAATTTGAAATTGCAACCCCAATTGCAATGGGTTGCAATTGTTGAGGCAACTAGATATGTCTGATTACAGCAAATGTGTTATTGTCAATTTGTAGGTGAAAGATTTTATCCTCAATAGATGTAGGTTAACATTACACCTGTAGGCAAAAAAAGCCTAAGGAAGGAAGCATATTCCTTTAACACATAATATCTGACCAGTATGGGGAGGATCATCGTGTCTCCGTCAGGGGGTCGTGGAGTGGTGGTCCAGCAGGCGTCATGGATTTTTTTATTTGGGGGTCGGGGGGGCACGGACGTATATGCGATCGGACGATGTTCGGTCGGACGTTAACCGGCGCATGACTGTTCCCAAGCGCTTTCGTGTAATTTGCATATATATATATATTTTTTTTTATAATAATTTTGTTGCTTAAAGCCTTATACTGTGTACTATACAGTATGGTATACAATCCCTTGTTACTATCCCTTTCAGATCTGTAGATAGTTCCACTTCCCAGACAGAAAAAAATGGAGACAAGGAAACAGAAGAAAGTGGTTATTCTGATTTTGACAGTACAGCCTCAACTACTACAGAGTCACACAAAGAGAAGAGTGACTTCACTTCTGCCTGGCATTCACTGGCTGACAGTGCTGCAGAAGTTGAACTGCCTAATGGGAAAACAATGAAATCTGTCACTGACTCGCACAAAGCTCCCACAAAGTCAGGTACTGATTTGCATATTACATCAAAAAGGCCAATAGGTGATGCACCCAAAGAGCCATCCGGGAGTCAGGTGAAGCAAAATTTAGGGAGAAGAAAAGTTAGCAAGATGGCAAGGGATAAGGGTAAGAGAATTTTGTATTTTCATATTGTCCTGCAGACTTCTTGAGCAGTTTCATTATTGATATAGAGCAGTAGTTCCCAAACTTTTTACCATGACGCCCCCTTTTGCTTTTTGCGAAGTCCTCACCCCTCCCTCTTATATTTGTGAATGTAAAATCTACATCACACCATAGTTATAAGCAAATTTAATTAAAAAGTCATTAAAAGAGAAGAAATCTAGACTAAAACACACAGTTTGAGATAAATCTTAACATACCGTAACTGAAGATGAGGGAGGATCGGTGGCTGGTAGTGTTGTGCGAGTAGTGTGAGAGTCAAATGAAATGATAAAAAAACGGATAGGGGTGACTGCTATACTTTGGTTTTGCACGGATGTGTGGAAGATTCAAATGGAGACAGAGTTAATCCTGAAAGAGTTTCTTCATTATATTCTTTTTGAGCAAAAAATAGCTAATTTTGGTAGATGGCTTCACACCCCTGATATAGAGTATTCTTTAATTCTATATGTTTTCAGAATCATAAAGTGTAAGTAGGTTTGTAAGGAGTACAGAAATAAGAGAGAGAGAGAGAAAGAGTATGGATACAGTGGTCCCTCGGTTAACGAGCACAATCCGTTCTAGAAGGTTGCTCGTTAACCGAAAAACTCGTTAACCGAAACCATTGTTTCAATGGGTTTTGGGGTAATTGGTTCCAGCTCACCGAAAATTACCTAAATTCAACAAAAAAGGTAGAAAAGTACACTTACTTTGAGGTGTGTATATAGAAGGCTCCTGGATGATGATGCTGATAATGGGGGTGGAGGAGAAGAGAAGGCATTGGGGTGGAAGAGAAGTCACCCCATGGCGCCATTTCACCCATAAAATTTTAGTTCTCTTGGTGTAATTCAAGATTATGCTCTTTAAATCAACACTGCACTGCATTATATATTGTCAATATGTAAAATAAATTTCAAAATGACCAATAATTTGCTTGCAAACACAGAAAAAAGCATTTAGTTGAAGAGAGTCTCAAGCAAGATGTTACCTCCACTGAAAAGACACAAAGACTGACGCCTGTATGGTGTGTTGGCAGGCTGGATGGCATGTTCAATAATTGTTAAAATTACAAAAAAATTTAATTTTAAACTTTTAAAATTATTGAATAGTATATACTTCTTGATATTTGCTAAAATGGAAAGGAATTTAAATCCTAGAACCGATTACTGTACTGGTGGACTAATACTACAGCTGGTGGACTGCCAAATGCAAGCGAAAACATGTTCAGGTCAGCTCGTAAGAAACTCGTTAATCGAGGGATTGCTCGTTAACCGAAGTTAAGAATCTTATGGAAGGTAACTCGTTAACCGAAATCTCGTTAACCGAGGCGCTCGTTAACCGAGGGACCACTGTAATGGAATACTGTATGTTATAGAGCAAGCAGGGTTTTAATTTCAACTTGCTTCTAGCAGAAGTAGCAGCTTCAGTTTATCTACTCATGAAAGAGATATAAGCTGAAATTTTTTTTCATTGGCCTCTAGAATTGTTCATACAGTACTGCAAGATTTTGCATTTCAGATATCAATGTTTTTCAAAGAGGTGGTGACTATTCAACTTTAGAACATAGCATTTTAAACTTACTATTTCACAATACAGTATATTACAATATTTACATCACCCAGTACCACCACCATTTCTTTTGTAATTTAGTTAAAATATGTACAGCCTCCCACACTTCCATCTGCTACAGTCAGCGTTGTCAATCCTCGTCTCTGAGAGTTGTGAACCACGGGAGTATGAACCCACGTCCAAAGCATTCGCTCATGACGTGGAGTGGGGGACCGGAGGCCGGTGTGAGATGATGACGGGGGGGGGTGGGGCTAGAGATGTTCGGCTAGCAAGACTGGATTTTTTATAATTTAGAAGCATAAAATAAGTTAACCTGTTGCTTAATACCATGATTCACTCATTCTGGTTGCTTTGTGCAACCACTGTCACCAGAACAGAACCTCTCACTAACCATATTAACACCACACTCATGATAATGCCCCAAAATTTTCACATTTTCTGCAATGCTTGTTACAATATCTATGTCGCCTTCGCCTTCCCTAATTACAGGGAAAAATGGAAATTAATCCACCGTGCTAGGCATCAGAGGCCATGTAGCACTGCTGTGAGAGGGGAGAGTGCTACCTCTCCCACCTGGGGCGTGGCAGACAAGGTTCTAAATCTTAGCGAGAGTCTTATTTGCTATTTGAACCTGTCAATCTTACTTCACTGAATCCCCAAATGTTCCACTGTATCCTTTTCATTTCTCTGCAAACATTTGCATATTGCCCACTTTTAAATTATGTCCCCCCACATTTCAAGGTCATATTTTAATTTTGTGCCTGTTCATTCGTAAGCATTTTATATTGTTGTTCATTTCCCAAAGAATTGTTTTGCTCAGATAGTACTAACCAGCTCTTAATGGCATACTGCCCACAGGCATGGAAAGCAATGTGTTTGGACTTATAGATGACGATGATCCAACACGAATACTGTATCCCAAAAATTCTTATTGTCTCTCCATGTTTTTTCAAGGGCAAGAGATTAAATTAAGAGAATGCATGCTCTTGATCTGACCAGAAGACTTCTAAATATTGGAATATAAAATACAGTATTGGGAAGAACCTATGGGAAGTAGAGTTCAGCCATCACCATTAATGTTATTCTATAAGTTGTCAACTACTAATTACCTGATGGTTGTAAGTGTTAAATGCCATGTCAGAATCAAGCTATTGAACCTCAAAAGTGGTAATTTCCAGTTGCAGTAGGGTCGGGATATATCGCAAGATAGGGTCCAAGGATGTTTGCTATTTACTAAATACCGATATATAATTACAAGTAATCAACGAGGAAAATAGGGTTAGGTTCTGGAGGACAATAAAAGTGACCAAACTTGACATAAAATGGCACAATCTAAAGTTAGCAAAATATAAATTGCATTGCTGGAATCCTTGCAAGACAGCGAATAATTTTAATATAGTAGACATCATATATTTTGCACAAGAGATAAAAGTTTTAGTCTTTTAGAGTACAGATATACACTACTGTACATTTAAGTACTGTACAGTTTTTCAACTCGTATTTTTTTGGCTATTTAGGGGAGTTTTAGGAATGTTTCTGACTTTATACGGTTTTTGGCTTTATGTGAGGTCCCAGGAACATAACCCCACGTAAGTTGTGAGTCTACTGTTAAATAAATTTATTGCAATATACAGCTCCTCCCCAACTTACGACGGGGTTAGGGACCCAAATCCAGGTCGTAAGTCGAAAATGCTTAAATAATACAGTAGGCTCTCGCCAATAACGACTTCCACAACAACATTTTCGACAATTACGGTAAGTTACAATAGATACCCATTTTCGATAATAACGTCTGGATTCTCTTGAATAACGGAAATTTCGCGGGAAGCGTCCGAGCGCATCAATGATAGCATTTGTTTGCTGCCATGTTGATGACGTAGTTGTCCGGTCTGCCTCACTCTCACACACACACTCAGTGGAATACAGCGCTGCGCCCACTTGTGAGATTTTTGCCTCTATAACCAGTGGTTGTTAGGGCTTCGGTGAGCAATAATGGCTTCCGCATTTTTGCCTGTGGGGGCTAGGGGAGGTGGTGGAGGGAGTGATTTGCCACCTAAATGACTGGGAACTTTTAAAGTGAGGAAATTGAACTGTCCTGAGTCTACAGTGCGAAATATTAAGAGGAACTTAGAGGAGACCAAGAAGAGTTTTGCGCTGGCTAAAAATATTTCGGTAGTGATGGAAATGCGAGGCGAGCTATGAATGATAAAGGCAATAGAAACAGGTTGTTAGTGATAACCGAGCATTTTCTTGTGAAGTGGTTAGCTTGTAGAATGAAAGACAGTGCAAGTGTTAGTGGCCCTCAGATACGGAACAATCATCACACCAAGCACCTCAAAAACTCCCCCAAGCTAAGTGTTATATTACTCAAACTCTTTATTTTGATGATTGAATAACAATTCTTTTTATTTCAGCTAACAAAAAGTGTTAGGAGGGCTTCAAGGGGAAAAAATGGGTGAAATTCTTGTGGCGGCGGCACCAATAAACCCTTTTTACATGTATTTTAATGTCACACAAGTAACGTTTTCGCTAATAACGGTGTTTTTCAGGCACCTATTAAACGTTATTGGTGAGAGCCTACTGTACATAGAAAATCTAAAATGGGTGTCTCTTTTTCTTCTCAGCACCACAAAACTCTCACTTTTAAGCTTGCCAGCCATTTTAAAGTGAATTACAAACGAAAATTTTGTCTATGTACTGACGTTGGGACTCGAAAATACGTCATTTGACAAAATTTTGGTACGACTGAGGCAGGTCGTAAGTGCAGGTGGTCGTAAGTCTATAATTTGGTTGCCGCGATATAAAAAAAATCTTTATGTAAAGTCGCTATATATCCCGACCCTATTGTGCAAGATAAAGAATCAAATTGACGTACAAAAAAGGGCTTGACTTACATTTTAATATCTTCGTAACATTGTTAAAAGTTTTGATTTTGTTCAGTAGTATACTGTATACTGGTACAGTCAACTAAAGATGCACTGACCCCACCCTGGATTGTGTGTTCTCAATTTTACCTGGCAATACTTGGTAAAGTAAAGCTGATTGTGATTGGTGGATCTATTTTCGGCTGTATCACTGTCAGGATAAATATTAAATAAACCAAACGTAGCATTTTTATAATACAGTGAAACCTCGTTTCACGCGGTCAATTGAACCCACGGAGGCCCGCGTAAAGCGGGAAATGCGTAAAGTGAACAACAGAGCATATGGGATTAATTGAAATAGTGACTGGGCCGACCCCCAAACTCCAATTTTTCAGACACAATACCTACGTTGTAGTAAAAATAACTTCTTAATTTTATGATGGTATGCACACACAATTAATAATTAAGAGAAATATCAATAATATCAGGTTTTTTAACACTTACATTAGTAGAAAAGATGGCTGGGCACACGGGGATGGGGGGTTGGTTCCGAGGCAGAGGGCAGATTATTGGCCCTCACCTGTATCACTTGTATCAATTGTATCACTATCCACCACAGAGGCTTGCAGGGCCTCTTTGTCAAACCCCTCAAAGTCCATATAAGTCCATATCCTCACTATCACTGACTTGGGCCGGCGTAAAAGAGTACATGCACCGCATAAAGTGAGCATTCTGGATCTGGCAGGGTACCGCGTAAACGTGGAAATGTGTAAAAAAAAAACGCGTAAAGCGGGTTAATACTGTAATAAACTACAGGGGGTCCCCCAAGTTTGCGGATTTTTATTTTGCAGTTCTCTATTATTCACGGATGACACCCTGGATGTACCCAAGAATGTCAGTGGGTAGTTTTAAAGTTGCCGGCATTTTCGAGGCTGAGACAGGGAATCATACATTCTAGAGACAGTAATTTCCTTTACCTGTATGTAAATGTGTGTGTGTGTAGATACACACACACAAAACACATGCAAGGTACAAATAAATAATAATGGGAAAATACTCTCACAAATAATCAGAAACAAATTTATTAAAAATGTGACAGTCTACCCTGAAGTTCGTGCTTTATTAATAAAGTAATAAAGCATGGACTTGAGGGTAGACTGTCACATTTTTAATAAATTTGTTTCTGATTATTTGTGAGTGTTTTCCCATTATTATTTATTTATATGTGTTTTGTGTGTGTGTGTGTCTACACACACACAACATATATACAATACAGGTAAAAGAAATAATTGTCCTAAGGGCAAACACATAAAGGGAATATACATTTCTTTGTACACAAGTAAAAATGTATCGGCTGATGTAAGAGGGTGGTTGCGTTGGCGCCGCACACCGCCCACCTCTTGTCTGCCTCACTCCATCCCTATCACTCACCAAGCACTTTCACTTTCCTCTCAACTTATTTTTTAATTATTTTATGCTATCAAAAATAGATTTTCACTTAACTTTAGTTAGGCAATTCATCCTCTGAAGATACAGAGCCCAACTCGACCAGCTCATCATCCACATCACTCTAGTGGTGTGGCTGTGGACGCATCTGACATGCGGGAAGCACTGGATGACAGCCGTGTCTGCCCAGACGTACAGTTGATAGGCCAGCTACCCCAGGAGCTGAAGGAATGGAAAATATTCATTAAATCATTGAATTTCTACCACATAATTATTACATATCATGCACCCAAAATTTAATGTCTATCTTTCCAAGCAAGAAACACTCAGTTTCATAACAAACTCACCTGATGAGGATAATGGATGGAAGAACGAAGTGATTTTCTTCTGTTGCTGGGCCATAACCATCTGATCCAACAGCTGAGAGTACGTAGATGCAGCCCAATTCAACGCCTCCACCACTTGCATACTGCATTCCATATCACTTGACCGCCGACCACCGGCGGGTCAAGACGGGTCAGACGCACCTGGCGCTGCTCAGCAGCAGCCACGTCAACTGTTATGTTGGCCCATACCAACTCCCTCCCCTGAACCCTCCTCCCCACCGGAATATCAACAAGTTCTCGCCAGAAGTTACTATTTCATTTGGGAAAGGAATGGAACCAGTGTTGAATAGTGGTGAACAGTGCTTAAGTCAGTGAAAAACAACTCGGCAGTTGAGTCTTACCCAGGCTAACCTTCACACAGTGAGGTCCCAGGTACCCAGTGATAATTCCCCTGAGACTCCACGATAGAGAAGCCTGGGACCACACCTCACCCACTTGAGTGAGTGAAGTCCTGTGACAACTGACCACGTGGTGTCCCCATGATGCTACGACACCACATAGTGAATGAGTTGCTACAGCATCATGTGAAGTTCCTCATAACACCATCTGTGAGGGAATTACTACACCACGTGATGCCCCTCATAACACCATCTGTGAGGGAATTACTACACCACATCAGGCCCCTCATAACACCATCTGTGAGGGAATTACTACACCACGTCAAGCCCCTCATAACACCACCTGTGAGGGAACTAGTACTCCACGTGATGCCCCTCATAACGCCATCTCTGAGGGAGTTACTACACTACGTGTCTGCTGTTCAACACCTCAGCTCACATGATCTACGTGTGTAAACATTAATCTGTATGTTCACTGTATGTTCCTTCACCTTTCTCTAATGAAGGCTTTTGATAAACCACCTTTACACGGGTGAAGTATAATTTTTTTATTTAGCTCATAAAATTCATACAAATTATCCGGCCAGAATATAATTTACATTGCTGGAATTCTTACAATTTGATGATCATTTTGAATATAAACATCATAGATTTTGCATTAGACATACAAATTTTAGATAAAATATTTACTCTTGAGTAAATATGTTATCTTTTGTGCAAAATATATGATATTTATATTCAAAATATTCCTGGTCTTACAAGGAATCCAGCAATGTCAATTATATTATCCTAACTTTAGTTTGAGTTATTATTTATTACTAAAAAGGTAAACAGTCTGGTATTCCCACACATTTATCTAGTAGGGACGTTGGTGGGGGGAGGGAGGGAGGGACCGGCGACCGACCATCTGTTACCGTGTGAAGAATATTTTCTTTTTATTAACTGAAGATTTTTATTTTAGCTCATAAAATTCATACAAATTACCCGGCCAGAATATAATTTACATTGCTGGAATTCTTACAATTTGATGATCATTTTGAATATAAACATCATATGTTTTGCATTAGACATAAAATTTTAGATATAATGTTCACTCTGAGTAAGTATGTTATCTTTTGTGCAAAATATATGACATTTATATTCAAAATATCCCTGGTCTTACAAGGAATCCAGCAATATCAATTATATTATCCTAACTTTAATCTGAGGTATTATTTAATACTAAATGTTAAAATCTAGTTTTTTCACCCACTCTTCTCTTGAAGGGAGGGTTGGTGGGAGGTGGGGGGAGGGTTGGGACGGACTGACCATCTGGCTGGTTGGAAGAGGGGGGGAGGCAAGGTGGGGTACTTTGATTGACAGATAGTGTCGTGAAGAATATTTTTTTTTTTTTATTAACTGAAGACATTTGTTTTAGCTCATAAAATTCATACAAATTACCCGGCCATAATATAATTTACATTGCTGGAATTCTTACAATTTGATGATCATTTTGAATATAAACATCATAGATTTTGCATTAGACATACAAATTTTAGATCTACTTAAGTATTTTGTTTACTCTGAGTAAATATGTTATCTTTTGTGAAAAATATATGACATTTATATTCAAAATATTCCTGGTCTTACAAGGAATCCAGCAATGTCAATTATATTATCCTAACTTTAGTTTGAGGTATTATTTATTACTATACCTGGTTTTCCCCCCAAAATTTCTCAGAGGGAAGAGCCAGCAGTGTAGTGTGAGAAGAGGGGGAGGGAGTCGTGTCCATTATTTGAATGGACATTAACTTGGCGACTGTATTTCTCTATTTCTCTTAAGTATTAATTGTGTGCATGTACCATCATAAAATTAAGATGTTATTTTTACTAGAACATAGGTATTGTGTTGGAAAAAGTGGAGTTTGGGGGTCAGCTGGTCTCTATTTCATTTAATCCCATATGTTATGTTATTCACTTTACGCGTTTCTCACTTTCCGCGGTACCCTGTGGGTTACATTAACCGCGTAAAGTGACGGTTGACTGTATTCTTTTTTTAGTGAAGACGAGCCCGGGAGGGCGCAGCAACATTCACTGAGTGACTTAAAGGCAAGGAATAGTCACAACGATCTAAACGACTCACAAAGAAAATGTGTTTTGGTCGCCATGCTGACCCAAAGTCATATAAGAAAAGGTCCCAAATACAATAATTGAGAGACATAACAAAATAAAAGTCACTCTACTTCATCACTGTGCTAGTAAGTACAAATACCGTATATAATATCCTTGTGGAGGTGAGTATTTCAGCAATTAGAACACAAATTCGCAGAGCTTCCCTTTGTGTGTTTTATAGCTGAATCGCCAGGCAAGAGATGAGCTTCGCAGTGCACACGGAGGCTGATTGAGGGAGGGACTTTCAAAATAGCAATTAAATGCCAGGTAGCGACGTGTCCTCCTAATATTACTTATTAAGTAATTATTAAATGTTTTAATTGCCTGTATGTTGGCCTGGCGAATTGGCTAGGAATTAACATACCTAGGTAGCATTGCTGATCGTCGCATTCAGAGCATTGAACAAAAATATATGTCCTTACCACAGGTTGGCAAGAGGCCTAGAATGTTCGTGAAGTAGCGTGTGTCTGTGAAGCAACAGACTAGGTATATAACACTAATTTGTGGGCAGTAGGAGGTACAGGACACTGTTTTACTATGTTATTACTATTTACACCATCAACAATAATTATTACTGCTCCAGTAATTGATCACAATGCTAGACCTATGCATGGGAATTGGGGGTAGAAACACATGGTGGAGTGAGTCAAGTGCAAGGGCAAGATTAAGGCTGAGAAGCTACTAAGAAGAGACTGGGAGGCTCTCATGTGTGAGTGAGTGAAAGATAAATACCTACTTGACAACATAATCTTGCCAAGCCAGCCCTTTTTATTCAAATAGGCCCGCCAAAGATCAAAACATCATATGACATGACCCGAAGCCTTGGGGTTTAGAAAACCATAATTTGAGCAATTAGTGATTGATTTTTTGAGACACTGAATATATCACAAATGATTGGTATGGCCCATTTGCCTGTATTATGGTACAGGGGATTTGCCCACCTTTAATGACAACTTGTTTTAAATATTTAAATTAATATTAAAGTACTGTATAAAAAATGAATATACTAATCTCAAAACTTGGTACCTTGGTACTGTATTTACATAATTTTTTTTGGTTTACAGATGGTTTACCAATATATCCAAGTCGCCCTGATCCAGTTAACCTATATCATTTTTATAAGGCTCATTGGGATAAGTTCAAAGTTCCTGGGGAAGATCCTCGATCAAAACTTCGTTGGGCTGTACGTACAAGACTGTTTTATTCAAAATAAAATCCATTTGAACTGACAGTAGGAGTTGTTGGGTAAACAATTCTTAAATGTAAATACAGGTACTGTATAATAATAATAGGAAATTTTTTATAAAAAGAATAACTGAACTCTTCATTTTAATGAAGTCAAATCAAAAGGGAATTTTTCCAGGAGGCTGCCATGCTACTTTGTAAGGATAGAGTCCTTTTTTATTTTTACAAGTGTAGAGTTGTTATTGAAAATATGAGATTTTGGATGTGTGATATGTTTTGGTGTCATTGAATTTTTGTAAATATTTTTATGCAATGACTTTTTTAGGGATCATCCTTGAAATAATGTAAATATGACATGTAGGGTGAAAAGATGGCAAAGACAATGGACATTTGTAATTTATGAGATCTTGGTGTGATACGTTAGTCATTGAGTTGTAGTGTGAGAAGCATTGGACAATAAAATTTTCCTCTCAGAAGCTTTGTATAGTTGCCAGATTAAAATGTTCTGATGGTAAGTATATCAGCTAATGTATGGAGTTAAAGTTTAATTTGTTTGAGTTGGAATATTGGCAATGGGGGTCAATCAATCAGTCAAAGTACCATCCTCAAATTTGAAGTTTGGCTACCACAGTCCTCCACTCTTAAGTGTTTTTGGACTGTTTTTATCAATCTTTCTGGGAACCCAGTTTTTAATTTCATTCATCCATTCTAGTCTGCTTTCCCCTGGCCCTCCTACCCTCAACTTTGACAATTAATATTTCTACTCTCATCCCCTCATCCATAATTATATGACCAAGTATATATAATTTTTGTACTGTTTCGTGTTCATCGAGGTCATCCTCTAACAAAAATGAAAATCTGTTTTTATTTCAATTTCATATTCTATCCTTGCCCCTATTTTGAGCCTCTCTAAATCCCATTGATTTTGTCCATTTTTTCTTTTTAACTTGTAACTGGTCATTAACATTCAAGTACGTGATTACCTATGTTACTATCTCTGGTCAGTCATGTACTAGAACGTTTTCCAAATATAATTTTCCCACACCTCTGAAACTGAGTCTAGCTACCATAATCTGTTGGCTAGTGGTGTTTGGCATCTTGTGTAAATGTTTCCCACCACTTTGCTTTGAGAAACACCCCCACCCTCCTGTTTCTCCCCACAGTAATCTCTCAATAGACCATGGCATGTGAACGTAACTGGTCACTCAATCAGGATGAGATATACTCTGAAGATGAACACAGTATTGACAGAGAGGCATGTATTGATTGTGATATTGTAGGTGATGATAATGATAGTGACCCATACTACGTGTTTGAACAAGAGGAAAGCAATGACGATGATGATGAGTGACAAGTGGATTAGAGAGGGTTGCTGCCCTCCCCATCTTCAGGAACATCCAGTACTCCCTACATTTCACCTACCCCTACCACTCCCAGTCCCACTGCATGGTTATATCTGCCCTCTTTCCTTCCTCTCTCCTACACTAGCTCCCTCCCTACCATAGTTCTTCCTCTCTCCCACACTACTTTCTCCCTCCCACATTGCTCCCTCCCTCCCACACTTTTCCTCCTTCTACACTGCATATTGCCATAGCATCTAAGTACAATATAAGCGAATAATATTAGTAAAAATGTAAGGAAAATAATCTGGCAGGAATGTTAAATACCTCTCCCGACCTTGAGTGTGCAGTGTAATAAAATATATACATACTGTATGTTTATTTCATAAATATTTTTTTTAGTCTCATTTGCTATGCTGCTACATTAATAATATTTTTTAATTTTTTGTTAATGTGAAAAAAAAAACCATGTACTGTATATATACGTGGCTGCAAGACCAACCGGAAGTACTGCGACAGCACTGGGAGCGAGTAGGCTTGGCAATACTGCACCATCCTAGGGTTTAAATGCCACGCAGCTCTTAAACGAGGCGAGTTGTCTTTTTTACTAGTAATTGTTGTTTTCTTTGGTCATTTGGGGGTATATGGGCCATAAAACAAAAATTGGATTTTTTCCAACTGGGGGGGGGGGATTACCTTGTATGTATAGTAATGTGACCTTTTACCTGTTAATTTCTTAAGCTTTAGCCTCACAAAACTCATTACTAGGATGTGGTCTGACCCACAATCTGTCTATTTGATTCCTGAAAATATTATTTTCATTGTCCTTGGGTGATATTTGTGCCTAAAGTGTTGTTTAAACCATGTATTTGCACTTATCATCTTGTTTTCCTTACAGAAGTCAATTAATATTTCTCCACTTTCTTTTTTATTACCCAACCCATGTAGGCCTATTTTTGGTGCTTCTTTCCCTTTCCCAGCTTTTGCATTAAAATCACCCATAATAAGCAGACACTAAATTTCATAGTGTCTTTTGCATTCTTTAACACATAAGGCATCCACCAGTTCTAGTGATAGTCATCAGGAAAAAAAAATAGTTTGTTGTCAAAAGAAAAAAAAGGAAGGTTTTTGTGATAAAGATTGCATAATTATGCACTCTAGGCATTTAAACTTCCTGCTATGTATTATTGTGTATGTGTGTGTCTTACGGAATTCCCCAGGCCTCTTGGGGCAAGTGAGCCAAATATGAATGGAAAATGATTTTTCTTTGTTTTACATTCACAAATATTTTCTTTCTTTCATCTCATTACTAACATGCTCATGGAAAACTATGTAATACAGTAAGTCCTCGCTTAATGTCCTGGTTCCGTTCCTGTAAACCTTGACGTTAACGGAAACAACGTTAACGGAATAAATTTTCCCCATAAGAAATAGATAAAATACGGGAGTTACATTCCCCAGCCTCCCTTTGCCCCATAAAATACATTACATATGTATATTCAATGGATTTTTTCTAGAAAATAGTATACTAAATCATTTTGTATTGTACTCACTGATGGGCAAAGGTGGTGCGAGTGTGAGGTGGGTAGTGGAGAGGAGGAGGATGGCGAGTCACTGAGACCCGGAGGGTGGCTCTTCCTCCCACTCTGACTGGGTGAGAGAGGGTGATGTGCCGTACAAAGTAGTCCGTGACGACGTTATACTGAATCGGCGGGACGTTGTCCAAATCATGGGTATCTAAAGAGTAGCGATGTTATAACGAAACAGCATTGTCGGGGACAACGTTAAACAAAGACTTACTGTAAATAAAAAATGATAAGTTTTTACCATTTTATTTTGTTGTGAATGTTTTTATATACTGTAGAATAACAAGGACCATGCGACAGCAACAATGTGCCTTGAATGTCTAGCCTGCCTTCCTGATTATAAACAATGTAATACTTTTGTTTTAATAAATTGTATTTTATGTCCTTGTTTTCTACCTCCTTATGTAAATTTTATTTATTTATACAGTGACCCCTCGTTTAACGAATACCTCGGTTAACGTAATTTCGATTAACGAACTGCCTTCCATAAGGATCTTCAATTCGGTTAACGAAAAAAATTCGGTTAACGAAGTTCTTATGAACCGACCTCAACATGTTTTCGCTTGCACTGACCGGGCAACCAGCTTTAGTATCAGTCCGCCAATACATTAATCGGTTCTAGGGCTTAAAATCCTTACTATTTTAGTAAATATCAAGAAGTTTATACTATTCAATAATTTTAAAAGTTTAATATTCAATTTTTTAGTCATTTTAACAATTATTGAACATAATTGAAGGTAAAATGACTAGTTTAATGCGCGGCATCCAGCCTTTTAACACAGCAAACAGGAGTTAGTCTTTCTCTGTTTTCACTGGAGGTAACATCTTGCTTGAGACTCTCTTCAACTAAACGCTTTTTTTTCTGTGTTTCCAAGCAAATTATTGGTCATTTTGAAATATATTTTACATATTGACAATATATAATGCAGTGCAGTGTTGATTTAAAGAAAATAATCTTGAATTACACCAAGAGAGCTAAAATTTTATGGGTGAAATGGCACCATGGGGTGACTTCTCTTCTACCCCAATGCCTTCTCTTCTTCCTTCTCCTCCACCCCCATTCTAAATCCCATCATCATCATCATCATCCAGGAGCCTTCTACATACACACCTCAAAGTAAGTGAACTTTTCTACCATTTTTGTTGAATTTAGGAAATTTTCGGTGAGCTGGAACCAATTACCCAAAAACCCATTGAAACAATGGTTTCGGTTAACGAACGACCTTCTGGAACGGATTGAGTTCGTTAACGGAGGGGTCACTGTACTGATTTATATGGCTTCTGAAGAAAATATAACAAATTATTTATATAACACAAATTAGTGGAGCCTTCTTTGTGTGCGTTTACAGCCGGTTCGCCAGGCAAGACGATGACGGTAGTGATGCGTGTGCTGGAGGGGGTTTTGAGAATTGCAATTAAATGCCAGGTAGCGACGTGTCCTCCTAGTATTATGTATTTAAATAATTATTAGATGTTTTAATTGCCTGTATGTTGGCCTGGCGAGTTACTGCAAGGCATATATATACGTATGCGGGTATAAAAGCTAGATGTCGCATTCTGGATTGAACAAAAATAACATAATGGCTTCACCTCCAGCCTCAACACAAGTGTTGCCACAACTCGACCAAATGTCACCAAAACAATACCATGTTCTTTGTAGGTTAGATATGAAATAAATATGTCCCAATGCAAAGATACTTGAATAAAAGTTATTAGGACCCCCAAGCTATGTTGTGTGGCATGTTAGTGTATCTGTGTTAAGGAGACAGTGAACAAGAGAGGAATAAATATGAATTAAGGCAGGGAGGCCAGGCACAATTCACTCGTAGGCAAAGGCACACCCAGTAGGGTTCCAGCTGTTTTAATTCAAATGTGGATTACAACTTCCCACCAAGAGAGGAATTTGGCAAGAAGTGCAAGTTCCACCATGCCTGGCTTCGACAGTACACTTGACTGGTTTACAGTCCACAGAAAAATGGTGGCTTCTGTATCAACTATCTCCTGATTGGCCAGAGTATCAAGGGGGACCTCATCAGTTGAGCACAGACATGCTTCACCAAGTCCAAGACCAAGTTGTCCCACCATGACATCCAAGATAGTCACATATTGTATTGGCGACTATCAAGGCCTCAGATTTCCTAGATGTGATGAAGGGTAAACTGGAGGACATTCAAAGCCTGATAAATCATGTGCTGGTTAGTAGAGTGCATGAAAACAGATTGAAACTGTAATCCATCATCAAGACTATCATCCTCTGTGGCTGTCAGAACATTTCTCTGCGAAGTCACAGACAATACCAAGGATGTTGCCAGTGATGGGACTGCCAATCATGATAACTTTCTGGCCCTCCTTGACATCCATGTGGAGGCTGTAGACAGTGTTCTGGGCAGCACCTCAGCACAGCTGCCATCTTGGAATATCCAGAACCAGTTGATTCACATTTGTGGAGAACATATTCGTGACCATATCCTCCAGAGGGTGAAGAAAAACAAATTTTTCTTCATCATAGCTGATGAAGTTGCTGATTCTGCCTGCAAGGAGCAGCTGAGCATGGTGTTAAGGTATGTGGACCCCAGTGACCATATCAGAGAGGAGCTGGTGGACTTTTTTTGGAGTGTGACAATGGGGTAACTGGTAGAATTTTAGCAGAGAAGATGATGACCAGTATCACAGGGTATGGACTTGACATAAACAATCTTAGAGGTCAGGATTATGAAGGAGCTGGCAACATGGCTGGCAACTCCAAGGGGGGAATCAGCTATCATTAAGAAGATCAACCCCTTTGCCCTCTACCAGCATCCCAAACCTGCATATGCCTTTGAGGCAGCTGTCCTTGAAACCTAACCTGAATCGAGGAAATACAAGCTGAAATACCTGTGCCATACACGTTGGGTGCAATGGCTAGATGCTCGAGAAACCTTCGTGGAGTTACATCACTCGGTGGTGGCCTGCATGGAGAACATTGTGGAGGGTGGTCCTGGCAGCTGGTTCACAAACTCGCTGACTGATGCCCAGGCCCTGCTGCTCACCATCACCGACAATGCACTAGGATCACCAACAATGCACTAGGCTACCTGAAAGGTATGACCACTAGCCTTCAGACAGAGGCCAAGGACATAGTTGAGGCCAGCAGTGAAGTTAACTGTGTGAAAGAAGCACTACAAGACGTCTGAAACAACGTGGATATATGGATGATCACTACACTGAATGGTTTCATCAAGCAGAACAACTGTGTGAGGCTGTAGGTATCACACCTTCCATGCCCAGATTCTGCAAACGCCAAAGACACCGAGACAACACGTCAGCTGATGGACCAGCTGAATACTACCAGGAGAACAGTGGCCATTCCAGTCCTAGATGATCTCCTGGCAGAGCTGGAAATGAGATCCCCCACACACACACACACCAGAAGGCCTTCCAAGGACTCTGTGTCATTCCATCCATCTTGGTAACCCTAACACACCAGCAGAGGGCAGCAGAAGAAACAAAAGCTGGTCGACCTCTACTGGGAGGACCTGCCATCCACTGCAGCATCAAGAGTGAGGTATGCACCTGGGTTGTCAGGTGGGAAAAAATGGCCAAAGAACAGGGGCCCCACCAGCCTTCCACCTACACTGAACAACACCCTCTCTCAGACACCAAAATCCATGTTCCCCAACATGAGGGCCTTGCTCATTATCCTGTGCACCTTGCCAGTAACAACATGTTAGGCTGAAAGGTCTTTTAGTGGACTGAAAAGAATAAAAACACTATTCATATCAACAATGGGGAATGAGAGACTGACAGGCCTGACACTACCGCACATGCACCAAGATATAACAGTAGACAAACCAAACAATTGACACATTTACACAGAGATGTCCCAGGAAGATGAAATTTGTAAATATACTTGCTGAAAAGTAAAGGTATTTTATATTTGTGCAAAAAAAAAAAAATTTTTTTTTAAACATTTTATGACCATTATTATCTTTTAATATTAGTCTATATATAAGAGTAAAGACATTAGGATGCTTAATGATAAAATAGTGTTATGCATTCAATACAATATAACTCCTGTATTTATGTATATACAGCTATTTAGTAAAATAAATTCATGTATTTTCAGTTTGTGTGGATAAAATATTGTAAGCAAATTTTATGACCTCTATTATCTTTTAATATTAGCTAGTCTATATATAAACAAGAGGATGCTAAGTGATAAAAATGTGTTACACTACAGTATTTATGTATATATTTAGCACAAAAAATATTAAAAATTTTTTTTATCTCTTACCTATGTATTATAACCATTAGGATGCAAAATAATAAAAATGTGTAACACAGTATTAATGTATGTATTTAGCTCAATAAATTCATATTTGTGCAAATTAAATATGCTCCTGAACCCCTCAACTTAGAACTGTTTCTCTAGGGTCAGTGATCTGTATTTTACCATGTTGGCTCCTCACCCGGCTCAAATATTTGAAAACCCCCATACCCAAATAAATTTTGGGTATGCCCCTGCATGACCCTTGACCTACTGGGGCATGTCATACTCTGGTTCAGGGTTAAAATTTGGGAAAATCAAAGTGGCTAATATGTATTCCTATGTAAAAATTTATTCTAAAGCTGGTTTATTATTTTCAACTCTTCCAAAAAATCTCATTTACATGTTCAAAATAGCGATTTTCTGATTAGAAGGCTGCATAACGCAGCCCCAGGGCACCCAAAGCGTGCAGCTGTTCTGCATATGAGTTAGTCTAAAAGCTGCTTTTCTGACCTCATCCTTGCTTTCTTGCGTATTTCAACACCTCTGGGTGCTGAAAAAATGTTTAGATTCGCTCACCAGCTCTACTCTGATCGAGTAGCGGGAGATTTGCCACTTCCACGTGTAAGTTTACATGCCTATTTTCACCTGCAAGATGATCTTGACTGAGCTCGAGGATCCCAGGAAAACTCTACTCAACATGGACTCTTTCTCTGTTCATACTCAGTCCTGAGAGAGAGCTGTACAGGAAGTCTCAACTACTTCCCAAGCTGTGTACGGTCACGAGAGGAGAAATGGGTGGGTGAGAACCAGGATAGACCATCGAGAAATGCTCTTAGTGTTCAGATCGAAGCAGGACATACTTAAGAGCTTTTCATGTTCGAGTGGCTGATGAAGAGGCTGAAGCCATTGTTAATGCTCATAAGAGCTGAAAGTCCTCATAAGATCATAAAATAAGATCTTATGAGGCCACACTTTTCAGGGTTCCAGGAAGAACAGGCATGTAAACCTACACATGGAGGTGGCAAGTCTCCCGCTACTTGATCAGAGTAGAGCTGGTGAGCCGCGCCTATTCTTTGAAGAAAAACTTTAAATTCTTATGTTTACGTGAAATTAAAAATAATTTCAGTACCC